ATCAGTATTTTAAATAAGATTGGAAAAGTGATCAAAATCAAAGCAAGGCTGATGTCACAAGACCCAATTTTAATTTTTGGAAGTGTTAAGAAAACATGAAACGTATGGAAATGAGAAAGAGATATTCCCCCAAAGAAGTGTGTTCGCAAGATATCTAGCTTTGATCTTGACTATGCTGAGGTAGGAGAGAGTCTTCATCCCAAATTCTGATGTAAAAGAGTAATCTGGAGATTTATTAATAAACTCTCCCTCTGATACTGAGTCTTAGGATTGAAGAAGACCAGGAAGCGTTTATGCAGCTCAGACAGGTGAATCTAGCAATGGTAGAAGAAGGAAATGGAGGAAGCAGGCATGGAGAAGAATTCAAGGTGGAAACTCTACTGTGCTGATTTTTTCCCCTCCTAGTTTTGTCCTGCTCAGTCTTAAGTGGGGCAGGTTTTTCGGAAGCCTTTGTCAATCTAGTGAGCAATTCCTCTGTTACAAGAAGCAATTCAATAGAAGCTTGATTATTTCCTATAAAAGAGATAGTCTTCAGTGCAATCAAAAAGAGGGAAAGGAGTGTTCAGACAGCTTCTGGGGCACAACAGGTTTTAAGTTGAGGAAGAAATGCCAGAATCTGCCATCCATATACTTGGTTCTCAAGGAAAGTTCACAACCAAGACAAATGATTAGGCTGAACCCGTCTGTTTGGCAATATTTACAAGAGTTTACTGTATCATCTTTCCCAAGATAGAAAAGATCGATCTGAGAAGTGAATTTTCCTTCTACAATGGCATTTGTGGAATAGGAAGGCAAAATAGGAAAGGGGATAATAAATGGATACAGAAAAGTATTTTGAGTTCAGACAAAAATCTGGGAGAGAAATTCATTACTGTGGTTACAAAAATGTAATGAGAGGGTTTAGTGTGATCTGACATAGTCATGTGCGATGGTACACAGAGAAAATGACATTCCTCCTTGAAATCACAGAGAATGCAATAAAACATCTCATATGGTGGGAAGCTTTCTGTGGCTTAATAGGAATCAAGGGGAGGAGGAAACAGAATGCAACCCTGATGTATAGCTCACTGTTAGTTGATTCTGAAGCAGATGATAGTTCTTCTCTGAATTTCTCTTCAGATAGCTAATTGAGCTGATACATGTCCTGGACCTTGGCATATTTTTTGTTTTTCCAAGGCATTTGGTAAAATAGAGAAACAAGAATAATAATACAAAATTTAGCAAGTGAATATCCTTCCTATGAGGCTTTTTGTTTTCCTATGGTGGAATCTGATTCTTTGGATATATAATAAATCGATAAACTTTGTAGCTCTCTTGGAAATTCCTTTACCAAAACTTTCCTACATAATGCCTTCCCATTGATTCTGAAAAGTTCCTAACTCTGAAAGGGGCTGCATTTCCTATTCAACTATGCTATGGTAGAATTCTTTCTTGGATATAAGGAAGTGATACCGGTGACAATTGTGGTGGCCTTTGTGAATTACAAATTAGGCCTTTCACAATATGTTATGTTATGGGTTCCTATCTTATAGGTTAGCTAACTATGCCCAATTATAAGACAATAATTCTGTCTTATTTGTCCCACCTAACAGCATTAATCTATACCAGAGTATTTCTTTATCGTCCTCTTTCCTTTTTTTAAAATTGGATCACATTGCTTTAGCAAGTTAAGAATCAACAACCAGAGAATATATTTACTATTAGAAGAAATGATTGAGAATAATGAATTACTGCTATTTTCAAGATGAATGGAATTCTAAGATTGAGGTTTCTTTAAAATCGGTATTTTGGTTTTGAGAAAAAACAGCACTTTCAATAACTGATACTTTGCAGAATCTAGTTTAACTTACTGAACAGGAGGAAAGGGGAACCAGACTTATAGATGTATTAGATTACTTCAGCTAAGAATCATTTATGCAAACAATCATCCATATCATCACAAAACTGTATATCTAATTTGGCAAAGTGGGTAAAACAAAAGGATAAGCATCATTCTGTGGCTAAGTCCATAGTAATACTATTGAACATAGCCTTCATCTGCATTATCCTTATCCCATCTTACCCAAATAATTTTAAAATAGAAGATATTATTTATTTCAAATTCTAAATAGATTTCAGCTTTGAAAATCTCTGAGGAGTTGGTTTTTTAAAAACCTTGTTCTCCATATGCTCTTCAAAAAGAGCATTACTAGTAAAATAAAAGCAACTTGATAGCAAGAGATCCATTCCTGCTACTATATGTAAAAACCTTTATGTTTTGAAACATTATGAAAACAAGCCACCCCTACTTTAACATAGAAATGATAGCAGGAAATATAAAAATGTTGTGGCAATTACTTGCACAGTAGGACTCTATATTAATATAGTCATTATCCCACAGTCTAAAATCTATCAAAAGCTGCTCCCACTAAAAGTAGAAAGCCTGAAGTGATCACAGCAGCTCTATCAACCTAAAAGGAAAAAAAATCTTTGGTCCCAATCTTGAAATACACTATCTTACAAGGTTCAAAAAAGCTCTTTGCACAGATATTTAGATTTAAGAGAGGCAGTATTATCTTTATGCCAATTAATAGAATATTGTGACTAAACAGAACAGGCATGTAAATAAACCAGCAATCTCACTTCTTCAGAATGTTGTTTAGTTACTTGGAAAGAAAGAGCTGCTTTTGAATTCTGAAAAAAGAGCATTTCATATGGTTTCTATGGCTACAAAATGGAAAGGCCAAGGACACAGAAGATACTTCTAACCACTAGGACTTAAAAATTATAGAGCTTTCTGTGTATACATTCTATGTGCAATGTCAACTTGCAGGCACCACACTGCCAGAAGAGCTGTAATAAAACATGTCTCAAAACAGAATTATTTTTTTTTATAAAATTTTTTTTTATTCTTCTTTATCTATGTGTGAGATATACTATATATTGGTGTTTTTTTAACTTCAATTGGTCTATAATTATATTAAAATCTAAATTTAGTCATTTTACCAAATTAAACACTTCCATTAAAATTGTTTTTGTGGATAGTACATTTACAGAATAGCCATTTATAATGGCAGCATCCAGAGTAGAGGCAAAAATGGCAGCATCCAGAGTAAAGGCAAAGTACTGTGTGGCTGATAAATTAGAGAATTGCCTTGGTAAAATTGTGATTGAATTCCTGGGAAATAAACTGAATTAGTGGGAAGAATAAATAGTGATAAGTATATCCCATGGACTAGATTAAGAGGGAAAGAAAAATTTTATAAAGTTTTTTTTAAGACTAGATGAAAGCAATGTATATGTATTTTTCAGGATTTAATAAACATATGATCACATTAAAAAAGAAATATGTATAATCTGAAAAGTTATTCAAAATTATATAATCCTATTGGTTATGGAAGGAAAAAGATTCATATACAAAAGGTAATAAGCCAGAATAAGCCAATTTTTATGTAAAGTTGTAGTAAACAGCACTAACATTAGTGTCTTGTGATAACAAGGACACTAGGTTTTCACTAGAGGTATCGAGTGCAAAATTAACTTGAATTTGAAATCTTTTTAGCTTAAAACTCTATTCTGAGTTTGAAACAGTTGCTCTGACTCTGAAATAGCCCATTCTGACCTTATCACACTTCCATTTTGAGACTGAAATTCATTTCTAGAATAGCTGAACATCCCACTTCGAAACTGAAACAATTGTTTTGTATTAAATGTTTTTTGCAAACCTGCAATTTTTCAATGAAAAGTAGTTACGAAGTCAGGAATTATATAAATAAACAAATATAGTACCAAAAAAAAAATACTTTCACTCAAAATTATATAGCTAAAACTGGTGACCTGTAAGAAGCCATATGATGAATATTAAGAAATTATAATAGAGCAAGTTTATTTTATGCCTGTTCAATCTAATACAAAATTTCATTTTGTGCAAAAAGCCATTAAAACTGCTTTTTAAATGACCCTTGTTTAATTATCATTGCCCAGAACACGCAAATGTAGCAGTGACAGAGAAGACAGGGAAATAGCAAGGCTGTGTGTATTCCATGACCCACCCAGAAATATAGAAATTCTAATTTAAGTGCAGATTTTGCTATCCTGAGAATTTTAAACTTTAAAAAGGCATGTTTCTAGATCTTAAGGCTGAGGAGAACGGTCTGAATTTCCAATTGTCAGAGGCAGTGTTTCTTAGGTCTGCATCCATTTTTTTCGCCTTTGTTCACCTTCTTTTACCCATGAGCCAATTAACACGAAATACAGAAATATAACCAATTCATAAGATTGAGACAGACTTTGGAATTCAGCTTTTCTAAAGTATAAAATCTGTGTTTCTGTGCTAAAATCTGGGGTTTTAGCACAAAATGCACACAATCCTGATAACTTCCCTTGTTCTTTTTGATATCAAGATGGATTGAAAAGTTCAAAAGAGGCCATCCTACAAGGAAACACAATAAAAACAATTCCTTAGGTAAAAATATTTTTGCATACTTTTTTCCTCTTTAGCTACCTACTAGATTACAATGAAAAAGGTGAAACTGAGCTTGCCTTGCTCTGAAGGCCATTGACAGTAGCAGTCAATGTTGCCTTGTAAAAAAGGAAAGCAGAATCTGGCCCACAAAGAATTCCCTAAATAGGGATAACACTAATCACCGAAGTGCACTTGACACCATAGGAGCTACAGTATTTTTTTTTCACATGCACACTTTGTAGGACAGTTTGTACATGAACTCAAACAATGAATATAAATATGCAAGCATCTTGTTTTTAAGTATACAAATTAAAGTTTGTTTACATTCTTTACTTTCCAAGTTGCTGATGGAAAAAGTGATCTTTCCAATAGGAAGCCAAAGATGCTCATTAATGCAGTAAAATATTCATACACACCTTTCTTTCCTTTCTTTCTTTTTCACACATCCACACATACAGCCTTCTCACATACTTCAGGTTATATAGCTGTGTGACTATGAAAAGCCCTAGATAGGACATACTCCTCTCACCACAAGAGGATGACAAAATTATTAATATTAATTCATTTTTTTCTGTAGGGAATTTCTTCTATTTTCAGTAATTTCTGGGCTGAAATCTGCACAGAAGCCATTAGGAGCAGGAGTTTCCAAATAATGTTTAGACTCCACTTGATCAGGATATAGGTACTCTTCAGCAAAGTTTGGGAACGTTTCAGTAAAATAATGGAAATCATCTAGAAATGGAAAAAAAGACAGTTTCAACAATCATTTTAATTACAATCATAAGTAGGTTTTTTTCTGCATTATAAGTCATATTAAAAGTACTGTGTACTTTTTAGTTAAATCAATGGAAACTAAGTTGAGCTGATTTCAGTAGGTTTTCCCTAAGCATGGCTAAGTTATGGTTTATCTAACTTTAGGGAACATGTTTAAGGTGGAGTTGTTAACTTAATAATTATTTAGAATTGTAGAATATTTGGAGTAATACATTGTACAGTGTATAACAGGGCCTTGTAGACATCATTATCATCATTCTGTAAGAATCAAAGTTAAAGAACAACAATAGTGTAAGAGTGCTTTTGAAACTATTTTTGTTTTCCATGTTGTACATTGCTTCTCTTGATCCACAATACCCTCCAAAAAGATACATACAGAAACAGCCTTATCTTTCATCAAAGGCGATTATCATTACTATTGCTTATAAGATTTCAAATTTTCTCTTCTCGGACGACTACTCCCTATCTCAAGTTAGAGTATGCATCCTAAGATTACATTATATTTCCATAATTGCATGCTGCAGAAAAATGTGAAAAAATTATTAACAAACGTTCAGCAATTATATTTATTCACTGTTGCATATCTTTCTAGCAAGAAATCCCAAGATGCTTCAGAACTCCTTAGAATGCAATTCAAAATCCCAATTTATGCATATCACCCCTATCAATCTTAAGGGTAATTTTCAAAATCAGAGAGAAGGTAAAAGAAGTGGCAAAAGAAATTAAAACATTTTATTTAAGAAAAAATAAATAGTATGTACTTTTTCTATACTAAATTAAAGACTAGGGTACTTTCTTGATTTTTGTATAAATAGTATAGATTTCTGTATAGTCCATATAAGAAGTGTCTAAGAAGAATGGATATATGTTAATTGTTTTAGCAGGGACTAAAAGAACTTGCAACTAAGGAAGATATAGAGCAACTTAGGAAATGTGGTAGCAGGACTGACCAGGAGTCACAGTACTGGTTTTGCAATATTAATTGCAGATTACATTGCAGGACTGCCATAAATGATTCTCTCTCAAGAACACCTCTTTATTTCATTGATATGGAATGTGGGCTATTAAAAGCAATGGGTAACACTGCAAAGTAGTTGCATTCCATCTTTTAATATCAGTCAAAATCTAGTAAGGCTTCCATATGAATGAATAATACCAAACAGCATGCAGTGCAGTATATTTTGTAGGCTATGTATTTATTTACAGGTGTGGTATGGGCATAAATAAGCAACCCATAGTCTATACAAACAAACAAGCAAATGCTTTGAAGTTGTTCCTTCCCTTTCTGGTTCTAGCATTGAGCCTCAATATCTATTCAGGTACCGCTAGAAGAGTCTAGATTCAGTTCAGGATTCAACTGTAGAGTTTTTGTTGCTGTCTGACTAGCTAACATCTTCAGATTGCCTTGCTTGCAGATTGCCTTGCCTGCTTTGATGGAGGTATTGTCTCCTTGGTTTGGACAGGGTTCATTTTCAGATGCCCCGTCTGATTTTCTTCCACAAAAATCTATGGAAATTGTTTTGTAGACTTACCATATGCAATTTCCCCTTTTTCTTTATCATCTATAGCTTTAAATAGATTTGACACATTAAGGTCTGAAACACCCATGACGCTCTTCAGAATGGAAGTTAAATCTTGTTCTGTTATACCACCAGTTTCTGTTTGATACATCTGTAAAATATGGACACCTATTATTTATTTATTTTATTTATATTATTATTACAGCCAAAGGCCACATATAAATCAAACATCCAAATAAAACAAAACTAGACAGAGCCATCACAAGAGGACATAGCAATACATCACAATCAATGATTGTGGGCGACCAAGGTCTGCCTAGTTTTACAGGCAGTATATCAAAAACAAGCTATCTTCAGAAAACTGAATTATACTGACCTGACACTAAAAATACAATGAGTATAGTCCAAAACTGGATAAAACACGTAATAAAATCAGTTTTAAAAGATTATTAAAAAGATCTAAAATGATTATTTTATGTTTCTGGCAAATCCCCAGTGCTGCTGCACAGAAACTGGCCACCTGCGCTGTGATCTCTACCTGCTCATCCTTAAGCAGCCACTGGAGATAGATACTTTCCAAACAACCAGGATATCTATCAATTATGGGGAGGATATGGTTTTTCTGAATGGCTCTGTAGAAGGAACATTGAAGGAGTATGTGTCCAATGGTCTCCACCTCTTCTGAGCCACAGGAGCAGAGTCTTTCAGACAATGGTGTCTTTTTATACTTGCCGAACAGGATGGCCGATGGAAACGCATAGCACCGTGCAAGTGAGAATGCTTTCCGGTGGTTTACTGACTCCAACTGACTTAAGATACCTGGCAGATGTAACCACATATCTAAGAGAGTCTGGAGCCAGAAACAGCGGAGCTATACCTAAGTCCGTTTGCCTCTCGATGTCCTCTACCCTTTGACGCAAGGTTTGTTTTGCTTGGTCATAGTCCAATTTGAGAATTGAGGCTGACGAGAAGCCTAGTTTGGCAAGGTTGGACTCGACTGCCTTGAAACACCTATTATTTGATGTCCCAGAAAAGAACCATATTTATTACTAAACATGAGACATGAAGTAAAATATTAAGCTTACCACATGAAAACTATAAAGCCTCACTTCATTTCCAAGTACACAAGTTCCTTCTGCCCCAAGATGGTGTGAATTTTTTCCTACCAGTCAATATAAACTGTCTAATTATTTTAAGTGCAAATATGCACTTTCTGTGCTCTCTGGAATTGAGAATGTTTATAAATTTCTCTGTAGATTGAGAACCAGTTATTTAATACTTTATTAGATGTCTTCATATTGCAGGTAGTGCTTAAGACAGTACAGTTAAGAACTATACTACCTAAACATACTAAAGCTAACGCAATACTAAATGTCACCTAAAATGTTGCTCCTATAAGGCTCCTGGAGGAGATGCTGGTAAATGTAATCTGAAGTTTGTAACCAAGTGTGACAATGCACAACCATGGAAGAAGCAGACTTGGAGGCACAGTGGGTACGAGGGTACCCACTGCACAAACTTACTGCTTTGCTGTATATGTAGTTTCTGATGGAAGGCTTGCATCAATAGCTTTTTACTGATCATGCAACCTTGTCCCAAGGGATGTGCTGGTACTATTGAAAGAATACTAGGGAGTCCTCCCTTTGTATCACGCTTCATGCTTTCTGTAGATAGGCATGAAGTATCTAGACCAGGGGTAGTCAACCTTGGCTCTTTTATGACTTGTGGACTTCAACTCCCAGAATTCCTGAGCCAGCTAAGCTGGCTCAGGAATTCTGGGAATTGAAGTCCACGAGTCATAAAAGAGCCAAGATTGACTACCCCTGATCTAGACTGATGGGATAGAAACTGGCAATTGTTAGTCCAAATCTGCATTAGTTCTTAGTGCAGCTACAGACTACAGGATCCTTCTCAAGCATGTTTGAAGGTGTGCTGAGGGTTCCTTTCCCTTCATTCCCTTCCCAGCAGGCAGGTAAGTGGCTGCCACTAGGTTGAGGAGGAAGTGAGGGACTGCAAGAGCAGCTGGAGACTGTCACAATATTTTCCAAATGAGCATCGCAGGGCTGCAACTGCAACCCAGCAACACTGAAGCAACCAGAACTTTCCCAAATTTCATTCCCTCAGGAGTTATATGTCCCAGATTTTGGGCACATTCTGTAAGTTAGCTCATTTGAAGTACCCTTGGTTCAAAAATCATTGTCCTATGATACATTGTTTCACCCAGTTAAAGATTATGGGAATAAGTGTTTTAGTAGTATATAGAGGAATGAAGCAATCAGGAAATTGCGCCTTAGTTACATGCTCAAGAAAAAAAGAGGAAATTGTTGCATTGTTGATTCTGCCTTCAGAACAACTACGCTTAACTTCTGTGATGTAACTAAACATAGGCAGAGGCCAGAGCTAGCCTATGCAAAATCACCAAGAGCCTTCTGTTCCATTAGAGTAAATGCTCTAATGCTTAAAGGCTTGAACAATAGAGACACACCTTGTCTACTGTTCCACATTATGCAGAAAAGGGAGATCAGGAGAACCTCAAAAGTATTGAGCCAAAATGCAAAATAATCCTCTCTTTTAAGGAGGTATTGGAAACATATTTTCAAAATGACAGGAAGTTAGGCTAGATTGCTATCAATAAAGACAGAAAAAAAGATGGAGCAAAGATCCACAGTATTAACTGAAAGAATCCAGAGTCTGTTTTGTATAGATCAGGGGTAGTCAACCTTGGCTCTTTTATGACTCGTGGACTTCAACTCCCAGAATTCCTGAGCCAGCACAGCTGGCTCAGGAATTCTGGGAGTTGAAGTCCACGAGTCATAAAAGAGCCAAGGTTGACTACCCCTGGTATAGACAGTAGTAAGTCACAATACAGGTAGTCCTCAAGTTCTGACTGTAATGAAACCTGCCCATTATGGTTGGAAATTGGGAGGGTAGTTAAGTGAACCGCTTCCTTTAACAACCCCCCATCTCTGCTCTCCCCAATGCATTCATTAAACAAATGCACATCATTAAGTGCACCATGGAGTACCTCAGGTTGTGGGAGACCCTGGGGGGCATAGTATAAGCACAGGTCCACCTGCCTTGGGCTCTCAAGGCCTCCCCCTGCCCCCTGAGATACCACATGCCCTGATTCCTGCCCCTTGGGGTCCTTTTACTGAGGAAAATAAAACCAAGAGCATTATTTTTCACTTAGAAAAAGATGGCCACATGAGTGGCTGTTCCATGTGGCTCAACAACGTAGCAGATTGTCGTCCTTCTCTACTCAGACCTCCTCAGTAATGGAGATCTTCAAAAGTGAGCAATTGGTGATGTGGGGTGGGGAGGAGTATGTGGAACCCAGTTGGGTCACAAAGCAGGCCCAGTGCCTGTTGGGACCTGGTGAGATAGAATGGAGGGCAACTAGCCAGGGCATGCATTGCAATGTCTCTGTTGTAAAAATGAACAACTGCAGAGGTTCAGCTCCAGATGTAACTTCGGGGCTGGATCATATTTTTATTGTGGGGGGGATCTGTCTGGATCATATTTTTAGGGGAGGGATTTATGTCATACCTTTGGTTGCTAAATGACCAATTGTAAGTTGAGGACAATCTTTCAATTTTTAAATCCTTACAATTACCTGTAAGTTGTAAGTTCTTACAACAAAAAAACTAAGAGGAAGTAAGGATGTAAGAGGAAATTCATGTAAGAGCAGATGAACCTTAATTCATGTAAAAAATACAAAGTTCTCAACATTTTTGAAATGACTCACAGTTGAAAGTATAAAATGACTTAATAAATGTTGTGTTTATGTTCCTTATTTATCTCAGCTACTCTGTAAGTGTCTCTCACAAAAGTTATCAACTAGCAAACTATAATATGAAGAATTATCTGTGTGGCATTGCACGTATGATATCATTTCATATATACCACTTGATACTACATTTATTTAATGCATATTTAATGCAGACATACAAACGATAGGTAGCATACCTATTAACTGGATTCTGTTGGCTTCTACTCATGCAGACGTTTGTTCTGTAATATTGACAGAACAATGCATATCTGCCACATGCATATCTGTTCCAGGTCTGTTAAACATCTCAGTTTTGGTTGTGATACAGCATCATGTAAAATAATGGACTATAACAAGAATCAGTTGGAAAGAGAGAGCTGTGTGGATAAAACAAGTGGATGGGTACATCAAGCACCCTAGCAGATGTGTTATAGAGGCATATTTCCTGACAAAAGGCCTTCAGATATAAAGCTGCTCTGACAGAATAGATTATGAATATGGGACAAAGAAGTAGGTGTGCTAACTGAGAAAGCCAGAATAATAAATACCATGGGGAAACTGGCAATCCTGCTCAGGATTCATTATTAGACAAAACAACAACAAAATGCTTTGTATTTCACAAAAGTATCTAGCAAAGCCCTGTGCACTAGCTTTGGATTCATGGATCAGCCATGTCTGGAAATTTACCATTTTTAGTTTTTGATGTGGTGGTGACAGTTTTTGGATGGAATAAATATAAATTTGAGCTTCCTCCTGGATTTATGAGTCTTCTTTGATGATCAAGTGGCAGTCGGGACCAGGAGGGCTTTTGCACAGATTCCTCTTTTATGACATTTTTGTCTTTTTCTGAATTGCTTATAGTCACTTCTCATTTAGACTATTGCATTGTGTTTTATGTGGCCTGAAAACCACTCAGAAAAAATAGCTGGTTCACAATACAGTTCCATGAGTAGTTATACGACACTATGTGACATCTCTACTGCACAAATTACTTGATTTCTGAGATAATCAAATTCAAAGTGAACATCTACCAAGAGAACAGTGGTAGTCTGCCAGGTAAACAAAGAATAAGGAGAATGCCAAAATATATTTCTCAAAATATGAAAATAAAGTAAACAACAGAAACTCAGGAGATACAGAGAAGGCAATTCAGAGATGTAAAGCACTACAGATTATGAGCCAATATCCCAGTTAATGGGGCTGCAAAGCACTGGAAGCACAGAAATTAAAGCAGGAGCTCCAGAACAGCAACGAGCCAATGGAAATGAAAAAAGAGCTGAATCCATGGCTAAGGTATAAAAACAGTAACTATAGATACAATTTGAAGGAAGGAACAACAATCTTGAGGGAAGGGAGCCAATGGGACAGATAGAGGTACTACAAGTTATTCAAATTAGCATTTGGAAACTGTAGAAACTTGAGATTTATGGGTAAACCTGAGAAGGTATTAGTGATCAATATGGATAACTGAATACAGAACATATGCCCATGAAGAGTGGAACCAAAGAGAGTCTAAGTATGAAGAGGACAGGATCTATGTGAATACTATGAATCCTAAAGGAAGTGTTGATATTGGTTGATACATGGAGTATGTGGAAACTTCCAACTAGGAAATGGTAGCACTATGCATATTCAAACAATAATTGCGATGAAGTTGACTTGGCCTCAGAGAAGGAACCATCAGGTTTTGTTAAAGATCTACAGAATCACACCTGAGGATCAAGAACGGGGAGCCTTTAAAAGTATGGTGACGGAGTTGGGAATTTCAAAGTCACTGGAGCTGAATGAGAAGGAACAGAGGTCAAAATTGGTTGATCTGTTGCAGTCAGGATATTTGGTGAATCAAAATTTTGAATTATGTAAGACATATAATGCATTCAAACCTCCACAATATCAGCAGAGTGTTTAAATTCCTGTAACTGATTTATTTCCCTGGTGTCAAGAGCTCTCCAGAAGTCACTGGCAGTGCCAGTGTATTTGGCTTGGAGTGAGAGAGAGGCGATGTAGTGCAATAGAATATCAATGTTACTTCCATCAGCAATACAGCAAAAGTACCCATGCTCGAATTCAGCAAGGAAGCTTCTGGAACTAGCACTGCTAGATCAACCTGAGGTCTGAAAGTGTAGTTTTATTAGAGTAATAGTATACATTGTGATCTATGAAACTTTAAGAAATGCAGCTCTACCTATAAACACAAAAGTCAATGGAGATGGCACAAAGAATGTATAGTAGGAAGCTTACTTTTACAATGTATGTATACTCCCCCTCCCTCTCAAAAGATGGGACTTGAGGCCATTGGCAAAGAGAACTTTGGCAACATATACTGTATTAAGGTAAAAATGTTAGGAAAAAAGAGATGCAATGATAGTAGAAAGAAAAAGAGAAATACAACAAGATCGAAACCAATAAACAGGGAAATGTGATCAACAATGGCCAAAAGGAAATAGAGATGGGGATTATTTCTTATTGTGTGCTGTTGGAGAAAAAAAAATGGAACCAATTTGTTTGATATGTCTCTTGATATAGATCTGCACATTAGGGAGTACAATTCTGCCCCAAAGCTCAGCTTTAAAATATTGTGGACTGAAGGCCTGTCCAGATACAAAGCCATGTTGTCATGCAAACAAAAAAAAAACAAAACCCATCCCTTCTCATTTTGCTTGCACAGACAAAAATGCCATCATGTTTCTACAATCCAGATTGCTACTATGATTTTTAGCATATGGTAACATTTAAGAACAGTTATAGTCAGTAGTGAGTTCTAGCTATAATGATATTGCAGTATGTGACCTAATGTCTATCTATGTTGCAAAAATAACTTGGTTTTTAAATAGCCCTTAATTAAGCATTTTAAATAAAAACTGTTACTTGCCTTAAAAGCCAACTGCATTGTTTGCAATGTTTTAGAAGGTCTACAGACTACCGACAAAGCTGTTACATATTCTCGTATGTCAATCAGGCCATCTTCCTTCTGTTGAAAAAATAAACATGCAGAAATTCATATCTAGAGAATATATGAAATTTCTGCACTTACAGATACAAATTTTCTAAAACTGGGATTAATACCACTGCTATTTAAATGGGAGCAAATCCTTGAGAATTTCTGAAAATCTTATGTAAATTTCTGTTTTCTTTATCACAATGGGACTTAGAAAATCTGAAGAGTGTATTTATTTATTTATGGTTTCATTTTTCAGCAACTTACCCTCTAAAGATGTGATTGTATAAATAAATATAGGCAATCTGATTAGCATATCTGTGGAATTTTTTTACTGCAGAGTGAAAAATTTTGTAGTGGAGGGATGAAATTTTCTCCAGAAAATATATGTAACAGAACTAGTAGGTGAGATCATCTCATACCCATAGCCATTTCCAGTTTCTAAATACACATTCTCTCATAGGGAGTCCTCAACTTACAACTAATCGCTTAACAACTGTTTGAAGTTACACTGGGCTTTAAAAAGGCTATTTACAACTCATCTTCAAACTTACAATTGCTGCACCTCCCCATAATTACACAATTGTATTTCGGGCGTTTGGTATTTATAACTGGTTGCAGTGATTTGCAATGTTTTTGTGGCTTCCAGCAGAAAATGGAAAAATACCGCCTCTTGTGTATGCTGGATTCACTTAATGATTAGGTACTTCACTTTACAACCTTAATATTGTGCTTTATGATCATCATAAAAATTGGTTGTAAAATCAAGTCCAGTCATGTGGTCCTTTGACTTACAAATGCAACAGCTCATGACCAGAATCCTGGGCGCCACTGTGGCCATAAACCAAGATCTATCTGCACATTCATTCTCACTCATTAACTAAACAGATCAGGAGGAAAAGGCTTCAATCTTGCCACTGAAGGAAGAGGATAGCTAATAGGCTGACTCTGTAAACCGCTTAGAGAGGGCTGTAAAGTACTGTGAAGTGGTATATAAGTCTAAGTGCTATTGCTATTTCTAACTGCTGTTAGTAACAATAAACTTATTCTCTATTAATAAACTGATTGTTGATCAGCTGAACACGTGGAAAAATTGTCATGGCTTCCAGGACGTGGATAAAATGATCAAGGGTGACAAATTGTTTTTATGTGCAGTGGCAAGGCAAAGCTATTTCCTCCTCCAGCAATTTGTGTGATACCACCCATTCCCATTCTTTTAGCACATGGAAACAAGTTGATTTTACTCACAGTAACATTTTCTACCGTACAATAACTTTGGCATTGTATTTCTGGTCATAATGAATTCTTACCTCTTCAAAAAGTGCAAACATGTTTCCTAACATATCTGAAACTTGGATTTCCAAATACTCTGCAAATTCCTTGAGAGTGACTTTTTTGTTTTTCAATTTCCTAGCTCTTTCTGAGTATGCATCAAATTTTTTTTCATGTTTTTCTGGCTTTAACCTTAAAATGGTAAGGAAAACAAAATATTACTTTTTGAAAATAATTGTTTAAGCAAAAAAAAAAAAAAGGACTCCTCTCTATTCTTTATATTAGCCTAAAAACCCATAAAAATGAAAACTCAGTTTCAATTGAAATTGTTTAGGAAAAAAACCTCTGATTTCAGTTAAAATTTATTTTCAACTGGGCAATTTATGTTCTCTTTTACAAAATACTAGATCAAGGCTGAAATCTTTATACTGTATATCTTTTCTTCCTGCAATACTCCTCTAGATATTTTTGTTCTCAATGGAAGTATTCTGTATCCTGAATTGTATATATTGTATATAAAAACTTTAGCTATAAAAAATTTAAGTGTATTTCAACAGAACTCTCACTTTGTAAAAAAAATTAAATACTTTTAATAGAGAAAATAATTTTATTCCAGTAAGCATAAATTTTTACGTTTATAGTAAGTGTATACAGCTATATAAAATATCTGTAATGATATACTAAATCTGCCATTTTTTTTCAAATCACATTTGAAATCACACTTTTTTTACATCTAAGAGCATGAAGAAAATAAGTGGTCTTTCATTTCTATCTGAATCAGGCTCAGAAAAGCAGTGACATGCATTTTATAATCAGTTTGTCACACAATTCTGAAAAGTATTACAAAGGGGTTTTTTTTTGTTAAAAATGTGTTTTATTATGTATTGATAATTTACTTACCCAAGATTTCTTACAAGTTTTGCAAATTCTAAGAGACAGGTATTTGATGGGAGATGGAGTTGTCCTTCAGCCAAAGCCAGCTGGCAATCTTCAAAAGTATAGTCTGTTACTGAAATTCCTAAAGCCCTTAAATAGACAAAAATATGTACATGTATACATATATAAACATACACACACACACACAATTTCATAAAGCATCTATTTGATGCACAGTTCAAAAGTTCAATCACGGCATGGCATGGCGGTACTGGTGAGAGAAGTTTTCTTGTTTTACAAACCTTTTGGATATTAGAAGTGGAAACTAAGAATTGAAGCAGTGGTAATGAATTGAGGATACTACGTTGAATTTGCATTGAAGAGACTACAACCCAATCCTATTTAACATATTCATGTCTTGCAATCTCCAAATTGCACCTTAATTTATAACTGCAGCACAGTAGGTTGCCATATTTGGTTATTTTGTAATTTCAGTCTTCTTTGTCCAATGAGATCCAAGAAGTGGTTACTCAGGGTGCTGCCTCAGCACCTTGCATAGTGTAAATTTCCACAGGATTCAATAGTGGGACTATTCCAATTTAACACCTGAGTCAGGATTTGGCAGCTTGGTTTTCTGATCTCAGCAAATCCATGCAACGAGTATTATAAAACCATTTCCCCATTGCAAGATCTTGGTGACTTCTTAAAGTATATTAGTTTACCCACAAAGGTAGTTAGCAGTTAAGTGTCCTGAAGTATGTGACAACACTCATTTCTATATTTATCAAACACTCGGGTGATGTATCTATTCTCAGACAGTACTTGGAAACTATAATCAGATGGATAAGGATTAACAGATTGAAACTAAATCCACTGCAAGTGAGATTTGACAGTAAAATATTCTCGGGTTCTAGAAGGCACAGGTCTTGCTGCAACTGATGTGTTTGTTAAAAGGAAGAATTTAAATATAGAATAGCAATTTTATAAAGTAGCTGTCATCCATGGAACTCTTTTTCAGCCATGCATGATAGCAATAGCACTTAGATTTATATACTGCTCCATAGTGCCTTATAGCACTATCTGAGCGATTGACAATGTCAGCATACTGTCCCCAACAATCTGGGTCCTCATTTTACCAATCTCGGAAGAATGGAAGGCTGAAGCAACCTTGAGCAGGTCAGGATGAAACTCCTGGCTGTGGGCAGAGTCAGCCTGCAATACTGCATTCTAACCACTGCACCACCATGGCTCATGATGTACAGTTTCTATTTTCTCTTGAATAGAAACCTTTGCAGTGCTAATTTTCATTTCTAAAAAAAAATCTCATGCTCAACTATTAAAATATATTGTCTTCGGTAGGGATCAAAGATTCTGACATTTCCGTTACTGAAAAAACCTACTGTGCAATATTTGGACAGTTTTGCTCTTAATGTATTATCTAGTAAAATGTTTCTGAATTAGTACTATAAAAACATTTTACTCCTAGATATGTGCTTGAGGAGCACCCCTTTTTATAGGACTTCCTTTATCAGCCTTCTTCTCAGCTTCTAGTTTGAAGCTGATTTTTACATGAAATATAAACTGTCAATGAGACAGGTGACTTTCACAACAAGAACTCTGACACTATGGGGGAAATAAAATCTTATCTGCAGTTTTTCACAACCACTTAATTTTATTAATATAGCATAATTACCCATATTTCCTCTCTCTGTTACAAGCATGCAAATATTTAGTTAGGTCTTTGGTTGCCTCTGCAATGTTTCCAATTTGTTTTTGTTTGTTTGAAACACAGCTGTAATTATTTCCTACTACTAATATTTTCTCTATCTTTTGACATCATGGCACAGAAAAAAAATATATTTTTCTTACAATATTTCATATATAAGTAAAAATGTTCCTACTATTTGAAACTATGCAGTCATTGTGCTATTTGAAACCTTAGTTTACTCACTCTGCCATTAAACGCCTCACATTGTTCGCATATAAAGATGGGTTTTTCTTTTCCTCTTCCGAAGGTATGTACACAGGTAGGAACTACACACAGGAAAATAAATTTCAATGCAAGTCATTATCACATTATACAAACACATAATAATTGTGTTTTGAAGATCAAGAAATGTTATGGGAACAAGCATTTAAAAAAACCTAACAACCTGAAGCCTGAATAGTTCTCACTGAAAAGAAATACCAGAATGACAAGTATTTGGTTTTCATTTCCTCTATTAGCATGTTCTAAGAACAAATGCAACCCTTCAGAAAGCAAATGACTATTTTTGCTCAAATTATGTCTCTATCTTTGTACTAAGATTTCCTGTCACTATAGTTAATTCTACTTTCCCCATCATTCAAGCCTTTAAACGGGGAAAACCCTTTTATTTAAAAGAGCACTCAGATGTGAAATGAATTTCTTTCCTGCCTGTGGGTACAGAATACCACTTTAAGATACACAAAAAAATAAAACATTGTAATAAAACAGTCAAAAACCCAAAACATTCCCTAAAAGCAAGCCAAAATAATGTTTTTATGTTTGCGATAGTGATAAATATCTGTAACTTAGGTGTAGGATGAGGGTGGAGGTTCGTTCTCCGAGCTTGTGGGTTGGTTTCCGAACATTTTGTTACCAGACTAGGTAACATTTTCAGCAGAATTTAGGGGATGTCTGTGTTCATTTGCTTATAAGGGCTTCCAACCCTCCAACAACCCACACAACCTTTCCAATCAGCATTTCATCTCCCAATGACCCTCACCTGACATGACCCACACCTGACCCACCATGAGACCCTCACCTGACATGACTTTCACCTGACATGACCTCCCCATCACAAGACCCACTGACCACATGAAGTCCTTATAAGCAGAACATCGACACTAACAAATGAACCTCTACCCTCAATATTATCATGTATCAAATCCCTGACAAACTAATTTGTTTCTGCATATCTAAAGCCAGTAAGAGTTAATATCCCTCTGGAAATCCATAGTTGGATACTGCTACAGAAAATAACTTCTCTCATGTACTCATCAATTTAACTCCCTTTTATGGGACATGTCTGATCCTTCAAGATCAATACAGCATCTAAGAACACTGTTTAGATGTAAATCGCTTGCACTACAGGTAGAACAAATTCATCCAGAATAGGCAGAATCCAATTTAAAATTAGTTTATAAATTGATCAATAAAGCCTCCACTTCTTTGGGATTAAGGCTCAATTAATTTGTCCATTTCCAAACAATATTTCAAAACTTTCAGAATTTTCTTGGCACTCACTAATGAGACTTGAAGAAAAATCTCTGGATTTCTTCTCCACTTATTTCATGTTAAAAAGTGCAGGGAATAATACAGAAGCCTGTGCAATTCCATAAGCCAGGAGTAATGTGATTTAAAGGATATTTTCTCCATTTCTTCTTACAAAAGTTAGCAATAAAGGCTAGAGATATCATGCAATAATGATTCAAATCCAATATCAGTTAAACATTTCAGAATATTACTTTGTTATTGCTTAAGCTGAACTTAGATTGAAAAGCTTTCAAATGATAAACTTCATCCAAAATATCACAATCAAGAAAGCTACCAACCACTTTCACTACTCATTCTAAGATCTTGTTTATAAACAAAGATGGGAAATTAGCTGAGTAGTAGTATTTAAGAGGACTCCTTTGACAAACGTCTCAAAAATATTACTTTAGAAAGGATGGAACAAAGCCTTTTTTCAAAACAAGCTATTACAAAACTCATTTCCCCAGCAGCCTTCTCTTGTCAGCCAGAAATGTTATGTAAGTTATCAACCATTTGCTGGCCTCTGTCCTTTAAACATCTTGTTCAAATAGTTTACTTATCAGAATTAGCTAAGTGATTGCTTCCGTTGCCTTTCCAATATCTACCCAAAATGTAGAGACGAAGTTGAAGTGATTCAAAATAATGTCCTTAGCAATATTCTTTAAAAATTAGAATAGTGATTTTCCCCTTATTATCTCAGATTCAAAATATAATAGACATCTGAAATAACGCCAATGAATGTTTGCAAATACATTGGAGACACAGGAAAATATCTCCACTACTTTACTATCATAGTCTAAATTGTCACATATGCTAAGAAATAGCTACAAAGGAAGTCCACAAATTACTAATTTGCTTCAAATTACAATGTAATTTGTTACGAATTTAGTGAAGAACTGAAAATATTTAATACAGAATAATTAACTATTTTAAAAGGTATAGTCTAAAGAAAAAAAGCACAGTATTTCCATGTTGTAGGGACTCTACCATGATAAAATAATTAATAAAGCAAAATATAAGGAATTTTTCTTTTGAGAAAAAATCAGAACCAACTGTTTTTTCTGAGAATGATTAAGTCATATCATGAAATTGGAGTAAAAGAAAGTCAAACAAAATTTACTACTTTTATATTTTGGTGTTAAGAATTGTAAACAATTCAGGGATAAATGAATAATTAAAATTCCATTAGTTAAGCATGTAATGACAAAAATGACATTAATTAAAAAGTTACCGTATCTACAGATAGACAATAATGTTAGTTACAAATACACCATTTTACCAAGAATGTGGTTTAGATTTCTTTAGCATGGGAAGTATGTTAACTTATATATGACCATGATGTTTCAGTTTGTTCTATCTTAATGTTATTAACAGAATTACATCCTAAGCAGGTATGAACAATTCGTATTTAGAAGTGTGTTGCTTTATATTTTGACAGAATAATTATTTGCTTCATTTTCGTGAAAAAAATTTTTTCTTGAAAATAACTCTATTGGATATTAAAGAAGTCACATGTCTCAGAAAAATCTGATAGAAGAAAGCCAAATGTTAAATGTAAAGCTTTGGCTTAGCTAAAATAGTGTTAACTTTATTAAGTAGGAATTCATCCCTACCAACAAAACTCTTCAGTTTCTGACCCCATCCATAGATCAGTTTCATATCTGATTATTTGGGTTGATTTTATTACTCGTCTGAGGTTGAGTAAAAATACTTATTATACAAAAAAGTCATAAACATTATGATGCTGTACTGCACATAAATGCAGGAAGAACACTACTACAAGGAAGTTGTGTGTTTTTTATTTCTCTCTTCTAATATCTATGCAGTAAAGTGCAGATTAATTTTACACTTGTGTTATTATACTTACCTCAATTTCCACAAAATTATGAAACTGACATAAGGTAAGCCACAGAATCGTCAACCTTAAGAAGAAGAAAAAATCTTGTCATTTCACAAATTCATATACTATGATCGGTTCTGTTGTTAACACTAACATTTTTTGAGCTTGAAACAACTAGTGTTCCAATGTTTTTGTTTTGTCTATTCTTGAAACAAAATTCACAACCTTTCAAATCTATGGGCTCTTTTATGTCTCATGATTGGTACATTTTGTGACTCATTATTGGGTTACTTTCTTTCTACCCTAGCAAATACATCAACAGGCACTGTCATGCACCTAATGCTACTGATTTAGGTTAGGCATGTCGTGAGGTGGCATGTTAGAGAAACTGTTTTCCAAACTACATGGTTTACCACATGAAAAGCCATGTTAGACTCTGTTCTGTTGCTGGAGAGAAAATTACTACCAATAATTTATTATGACTAGAATAGACTGCCACTGCAGCTTTGCAGAAAAGTATTCTGATATCTGACTTAGGCAATCTTGTCTATTTCCCTGCATTCCATTCTAATATTGTGCTTTTATTTTAGTTCCAAATTAAAAAAACAAATTTAAATCTTTAAAAATTCTCCCATTAAAGATAAAAACATCTCTCCTTAAACTCCCTCAATCTTTGTACCATGAACCTGCTTTTAAGGAGAAATTAATTATTTCAGCTGGATGCATATTAATATTGCTATCTCTGCTATACACACTTTAAAGAGAGCCTTTCAAACACAGATGTACAAAGCTCAAACAGCATTAGTGACATTAAAATATTACCATAGCCAATTCTAATGAAAACTATGTAGCAAATAGCAGTCAGCTCTGAATATCACCCCCTCCCTCATAGGAAATGAGGGAGGAAGTTTCAAGCTCCCATTTTTCCTATGGTTGGGATATTTGAAATATTTCAATGAAAGATAGCTAGTTCAGGAAACTGGGATGAGATTTTCAAGTTGCGATATTTTCTCTGAGGTTAAAGCAAAATACATTTTTCATTTCATACACAATCCTACAGATATTAACAATGCATTCTATTTGTTTTAAAAGTTATTTCACAGAGAACACGCCTCAAACAATATTAACAGTCCTCAGAATAATCAGATCAGTTTGGGTCCCAATTGTTAGTTTTTATTTTAAAAATATTAAGTCACTGCTATTTACATCTGAGCAAAAAATAATTTAGAGGGTTAATGTCACAGTAAATCTTAGAGTAATAAATAATTCAAATAGTACGTCACTGACTTACGCTCCTGGACCTTGCCATGTCCATGTAATTGTATCCTATAAACAAAATAATTGCTTTAAATATAGGTATACAGCTTCTTATTGCTCTCAACATATTAACAGGCTTCATCAGAAAAATAGCATCACTTTAACAGTAGATATATATGATACATTAATCACAGCATGTGTCATTCAGTTCAAAGATTTTGAAAATGATTTATTTTTTGTAATTAGAAATATAAAGCCAGGAGTTAAACTTCACATGATAATTTTATGTCTTCCATGAGTAACATTTCTATTACTGTATTAGAAGTAAAAATTTAATCTATACACTCAAAAATAAGACTTCAAGGCCGATAAAATAATGAAGCATTACAATAGATATCTACTCCAAGAAATGTGGGGCACAAGTCCAGGGCCCGTCAAATGGAAGACCCAGAGAAAATGCCACAGGCAGTAATGGCACGTCAGCATATTATCTAACAGAAAATTGTCCTGACTGGATTGACTCTGCAGTCATGGGCTATTTTAATCTGAGGTATCTCTTTCCACTGTGGAAGACTGGCAGCACTGGTGTATGGTGCTAGCATAATATAGGCTAATTCCATCGCTGCTCCTATGTTCTTATTGGGGCCTCCTTCCCAGGCTGGAATGAATATTTCAAAGACATTTTTTTTCATACTATGTCATCATCCACAACACAAAGGCAAAATGTTGAATGGGCTAGCAGAGGATCAGAGAAGGAGGAAAAGTTAAGAAGGAAATTGAGAGATGAGAATGAAAAGTAGACGTCAACAGCGAAAATGAAATAAAGTGCTCAATAAAAAAATGAAACTGAAGAGTCAGCCAGGGAGTTATGGAAGAAGACACCTTGCCTAGTTCTGTTCAAAGGCATTGTACCCCTCTACAATTCTGATTACCACTGAAAACACACACACCCTCATTTTTTTCTACTCAGGTTAGAAAAGTGTGAAGAAATTCTGCCCAAATTACAATCCCATTTTTAATTTTTCTTGCTCTATACTTGACTGCTATTCTTGGAATATGAAGTGAACATCCCTTAATTTAGAGATTAAAATATCAGCTGTACTTATACCAAAACAATTCTTTTTAGCCAGCACAATAAATGTTACCCCCTACCCAATGTGGCTTCACTTAAGGCTGACTATTGCTTAGAAAAAGTGCTAAACTGGTATGAACAGGACTTCTGATTGCCCATCACAGATAAAAGCTAATATTTTGTTTCACTTATTTTTTTACAAAATTCCTTCCTCTTCTTTTTCCATTATCTTCTAGGCTGCTTGGCTATATAAGCAGCTATAAGTCCACGAATATAATTTTCTTAAATAATACAGTTAAACATTGTTCAGCCAAATGCAAAATTAACTGAGATCTAATTGTTAACTTTTACCTACACTGGTGTTCTTAACCTATAGTACTATAGGTTTTGCTATTAGCAAGTGCTATTTTATGCTACTATTATATAAGTATCATTTAAATCTTAATTATAATTAAGCTGATAATGTCTAAAAGATGTTAGCTTATTTTTCCAATAATTTTTAATTTTGCATCACTATTTTTTAAATTTATAATTACTATTTTCAAACTTTGCAGGCAGAGATTGTTTTTAATGGCATGATTATAACTGAATTATAATTATGTAGTTATATAACTATAACTGAAATTGATTAATGGCCAAAATTATTACTGTTAACTTTATAAAATGCCTTATATGCTCTCTCACACTGAAGAATTAAGCCAGTTCATGATGTACTGTAGAGTATTTGTCTTGCAATAGAACATTAAAACAAAATTCAACATTTATCTAGTCAAAATATTGGTCCTTTACTTTTCAAGAAATAGATTTGAGAAAATAATAATAATAATAATAATAATAATAATAATAATAATAATAATAATAATAACAACAACAATAACAACAATAATAATAATAATGAGGAGGTGGTGGTTGGAGGGGACCTTGGAGGTCATCTAGTCCAACCCCCTGCTCACGCAGGAAATCCTATACCATTTCAGACAAATGGCTGTCCAGTCTCTTCTTAAAAACTTCCAGTGTTGGGAGCATTCACTGCTTCTGGAGGCAGGTTGTTCCACTGGTTAATTGTTCTAACTGTCAGGAAGTTTCTCCTTAGTTCTAGGTTGCTTCTCTCCTTGATTAGTTTCAATCCATTGCTTCTTGTCCTGCCTTCAGGCACTTTGGAGAATACCTTGACTTCCTCTTCTTTGTGGAAAGAAGATATTGGAATACTGCTATCATGTCACCCCTAGTCCTTCTTTTCATTTAACTAGACATACCCAATTCCAGCAACCGTTCCTTATATGTTTTAGCCTCCAATCTACTTTTTCTAGAGTCTCAACATCTTTTTTACATCGTGGTGACCAAAACTGGATGCAGTATTCCAAGTGTGGCCTTACTAAGGCATTGTAAAGTGGTATTAATACTTCACGTGATCTTGATTCTATCCCTCTGTTAATGCAGCCTAGCACTGTGTTGGCTTTTTTGGCAGCTGCAGCACACTGCTGGCTCATATTTAAGTGATTGTCCACTAGGACTCCAAGATCCCTCCAACACCTTCCAATAATTTAATATCTCCTCTAACACACAGTATTATTTCAGATATTAATATATATAATCAGTACAATACATACCAGCTTGTTTGGATAACGTAAGATCACTGGTTGCACAGGTACTCCAGGGATAAACGCTCCTACAATATGCATGGGATACATTTAATTATAACACTCTCTCACTCTAAGCTATTATGGTCTTAAAGAAAACTGAATGGATCTAAATCCAAAGAAAACCCACTAAAATCAATGACCATTAAATTACTTACATCTAACTTAAGTACCGCTGATTCCAGTAACTCTGCTCTAAGCCTGATTAAGCCTGGACTTTGAATTGCATGAGCAATAGAGTATCTGTGTTAACTAATACTTTAACAGTGTTTATTTTCTAGACAATATAAACAATTGTCTACTGACAGCAATATTCTCCTGCCAATATAATCCCTCGATATTGATATATGTCTGTGGAGATTCTCAGTCCTCCAGGTTATGGTTGTTCCAAAAGTGCTTTTTTTCTTTCTTTCTTTTTTTCTGAAAGGCAACTGGATTTTGTTTTTTTCCCTGAAGACATCTTTCCTTGATGTTGATATATATTTTCCAGAATGGACAGAGAAAAAGTTCTATTACAAGCCTCTTTATTGGAAAATACATAGTGTTTTGAATAAGAAACATTACGAGATGAAACAGGTGGTTCTGCCCTTTTTAGAAGAGTTTTGAGTTTTAAAGAATTCTGATTTGAGTCTGAAATAAACATTTTGGATTCAAATTAGGGCCATTTCAACGCGAGGATACTTCCAGAATGGATGAAATAACCCATTTTATGCTTGATGTTTTTTGAATTTGAAATGTGTTGCATATCTTTATATTTGTTTTCCAACAATACAATTTTTTTTTAAAAAAGGAAAACAAATCTGCTTTATATAAGTTTTCCACATAGATTTTATGTTTATGGCTTAAATATTTATGTGAATGTAATTGACATTATTACTGATAATCTCAATGGAACAGATATTAGATGGGAAAAATGCATTATAAATCAAATCTAAAATTGGAAAACCAGAAAGACATCACAAGTGAACAAATCAAGACTGTTTTGTGTGTTTTTCGGTTTCTCCAATGCAGAAATTAACATCTTTGAAAGATTGCTAGTACCCTTCTAGATTTGTATTATCAACATTCATTATTTTACCTTTCTCTAGAGTTCAGCAATTTACCTATAGGAGTACAAAACTCCTTGAAGTCCTCTTTCAAAGTTCCAGTGAAAGAGGATTTAGGGCAGGGTATCAAACTCGCAATGTCACGTGACGTGTTGCGATGTATTGTGACTTTTTTCCCATTGCCGGCAATGGGGTGGGCGTGGTTTTGGCATAACGCATTCGGCCCACGGGCTGGCAGTTTGACACCCGTGACTTAGGGTGTTTATATAAAGACTTTTACAATCTTTAATTTCATCTGTATGTTATCAAGTTATTGAAACTGTTATTGAAATCTGTTAAACCAAACATTTCTCCTTAATTAAGAAGTTTCCAAATTTTGCTTTTACTTTTCTTTTTCTGTCTGTGAGAGCTTTAGGTCATGCCATTGGGGAAAGGACCAGAAATTGGTAGTATTAGGAAAGATTAATGCAATGCAGTCAATTATTGACAATACACAATCACAAGAACCTGGATTATAAATTCAAATTCAAATATATCAATATATTTCACAAGTTATGCAATCTGAGTATTTTAAGATATTTTCTTGAATGTCATACCGGTAAGTAAACACAAAAGCACGTACATCAAGAACAGCCTTTGTATTTTGCCAGGGAACAGTCATAATAGAATATTTAAATTTCTTAAACAGGCCAAGCATTTCTGGTTAATTAAATTCTACAAGCCATAATAGTTACATATGTATAAGTGTTACAAAAATACTCTCTAGTTACCCTGCAAAGGAAGGAAACAGAAAAGGGCATATTTGTTGTAATGTAGGAAGTGAAACTAAGCAATAACAAATACTGAATTTCATGTTTCAATATCCGAAATTATTAAAGGAAAGTTGTACAAAATACATACCAGGTTTGAATGTAATTAGGCAGGATCGATTAGTGCAGGTTCCTTCTGGGAATATCATTATCTAAAAAAAAAATCAAAATGTCTGGTTAATATTTTTTAGGCATCTGGAACATCCTCTTAGGAAACATATTTCAAATGCAGAATTTATAGTCTTGAATTTGCTACTCAAGGCACTTATAAAGGGAAAGTAGTAATTTCTGAAAGAATTCATGGAATGAGGTCTAGTGTCCATATAAGCACTCTCATCTTTGGCACTCTGAAAGGCAGGAAGTACAATGAAATGTTTTCTCTCCATACCCATTCCTTCTTATCTAAGAAGATAGCTCTTTACTTCTTAAGAAGAAAATACACTGGGATAGCAGCCACTAATCTATCTCCTCAGAGCCCATGTTTGGAATTCCTCAAACTGCTTCAAGTTCAGGGAACTGACTTCCAGGAATGGCTGAAGCACCCTTGCAAAGACATAGTCTGGAGAAGGAACAGAACATTCAAGAGTGTTGCAAAAAGTTCTCTTCCCAAATCACTGAATTTTGCAGAAAGGACCCAAATTTAAGCAAGAGATCTGTATATGAGGAAAGTTGGGTATATTGAAAATATAACTGAATGACAATATTAAATATTATTAGAACTTCAAAATGCATGGTTACTTTTCAATATTTAATTCAGGTCTAGTTGTTCAATCTCAAAAATGATATTACAGATAGCCCTCAACTTACAACAACGGCACTGAAAAA